TCCTTGATCACAATCCAGAATATCACACAAAGGCTCTGCATCACTAAAGCTTCAAATGCAACTATTAGCCTGAATTCTAATAGATAGCTTTGCCTTTTTTCATTCTTTCTTATTGGCTTTACAAATTGATGGGTTTTATTTTAGAAGCTTTGTACACGCATACGATAGACTTTAACTGTTTTCACCCCTTCCCCCACCCTCCCCAGTCTCACATTTTTTGGAGGAAGTTTCGATGCGCATGATATGTTTTGCTTGTATCCATCCTCCCTAGGACCTGCCTCCCCGCCATTGTTTCCTGACTCTTTTTCATGTATAGCTGTGTGGCCCAGTGAAAGCCAACTGCAGTGGCCAGGGAGATGAAATTGTCTGGGAGTCCATGGAGGGGCCTACTCCACTGAGACTATGGGGACTGGGAGCGGGAGGGATGACTCTCTAAGGGAAAACCCAAGATACCATCACAGGGGAAAATGAATGAATGGCTGGGTGACAGTCAAAAATACCAGCAGTAGGGGCCAAGGATATAGCTCAGCGGCATAAGCACCTGCCTGGCAAGCGCAAGGTCCTGAGTTTGATTCCTGGTACCAAAAAAAGAAATAAAAGAAAAAATAGAAGATAGTAGAAAAATACCAGCGGTAGTAGTGCACACCTGTCATCCCAGCCTGGAATACTAGCACTCTGGAGGCTGAGGCAGGAAGACCAGGAGTACAAGGTCAGCCTGAGCTACACAGTGAGCCCTTAACCCCAAAAAACAAACAAACAACAAAAAACAAACAAACAAAACAAAAAGAACGCAAACAAACAAAACAAAAGTACAAGGAAGAATTACCACCCTTACTCTGGAGGCCATACTTCTACTAACACAGGCCCAGGCCGCATCATCTGCCACCGATGACAGTTACCAGCTCCCCAGGGTGATGCGTCCTTATCTGAGCATCACCTCCCTTGTCCAACCCCTTGTCAGAGCTGCAGATGTTTCAGGACAAGTAAACAACGGGAAGCTGCGGGCCCAAAATTGAGAAACCACACAGAGCAAGGACAACTGTGTCAAAACACTGGGAAACCAGCAGATAAAGGTCACCAAGTCCCCCTAAGACACCCAAGCATGTGCAAAACCAAAAGTACATGATCCTGGCCTGCATCCGACCTCATCTGCGCTGTGTTTTTGACTCTCCAGCCTCTCTCCACAACATACCATGGGTTTTGGATGTTGTGACACTTCATCTAAAAACCTTATATGGTCAAAAACTCCCCTTCTGATGGGTAAGCTAAGTCAGTTACCCTGCTGGGCCATGACTCCTGTGACAACCCAACTGCAGATCCTCCCATAGTCTCAGGACGATGGGGGAGGCCTGTGCTCTTCTCGTCTGCCCTCTCCCTCCCTGAGAAGTACACTTTTGTTCTTTTACTTTGTGTGTGTGTGTGAATGTGTCTTTTTTTGAGACAGGGTTTCACTACGCAGTTCAAG